CGTGTATTTCCGAAAAATCGATTTTCTGCAATATAACACAACTTTCTCTGTATTACGAATGTTCTCCGTAAGGATACGAGAAAGTAAAAATCGAACTTCGCGTTTAGAGGTTAATCCCATCAAATCGTGTACAGATGTAGCTAGAGCATCATATTCCAGCGTGACAGAGAAACTCCAACCTAATTTTCCTTCTTATATTCGACGGTGAAGTTGGCGATATCTGAACGTCGAAAAATACGCGAGATTGTAAAGCAAGTTTCCGTCAGTAAAAAATGTGTTTTTTAACATTTTTGCTTGGATTTTTCTGAACTGCCAAATGGATACTACATCTGAAAGTAAATTAAATATCTTACAAGTTTCCGTTTCTGTACGTTTTGGCAAGTAAGGCGTGTGTATTTTAACATTTTTCGCGTATTTCTTTTTTACATATTGAGGTCTGTAACTTTTGCACCGCTTTCAAATTTAGCTTGTCTGAAAGCCCCAACTGTTCTCTATCAGAATGCCAAATTGCAGCTGTACATATTTGCCCATTTTTGTATTATTATTGTTTAACTACTGGAGTGCGTGCCGGCCTGTCTCGATGCGGGACGTGCCACAGCCCGCCGCCCGTTCGTCCAGACGCCCGGCCGTTCGGTCCGCCCAGCCCAGAAAACACTCGCCAATAACAGCAAAATATCGAAGATCAAATTAAAATTCTTGTATCTTTTAAATTTGTTGTTGGTGATAAAACATACAAATGAAATATGCATAAATTCTTGGCTATTCGTGAGATGTCGCGTCATTGGCTGAGAGACAGACGTTTCGCCTGACATGTCGCAGGCTTCCTCAGGGCAGTGAGTTAATAAATAAACATTACCATTACAAACCATACCATCTTTGCATAAAATATGTGTACCTAAAACCTTACTATATATTTTCGGACGAAATTGCTTAATTTTCAGATATTCGATCCACCAGACTGGACCTTTTTATTCAATTTTTCAATTTGGACATCAAATTTGAAATTTGAAACTTTGAAAATTCTTAAGAAGGCATTTCCACGCAAATACGATTAATTTTTAAATATTGGATCCGCCATTTTGAATTTTTCAATTTTGACATCATATCATTTGATTCATAATCAGAAACTCCTAAAATTCTTTAATACACAGTTTTAAGGGAACCTTCTTCATTTTTAAATATTTAATTCGCCATTTTGAATTTTCCTATTTTCATATCGGGCTTTGTCGCGTAAATTCTATTTTAAAAAGGAATCAAGTGTCATTTACAGATTGAAAATATGTTCGTTTGTTCGAACGTTATCGGTAATGTACATTTTCATTATTTTGGTGCTTCCACGCGGTGGCGACAATTAGGTTCGGTACATTTAGCCTTGAGGGATAAATCTCTATCTTTAATATTTTATTTATAGGAAGACGCCGAACTAAATTTGAACTTTTACAATTTTCGAATAATCAGAGTTTTCAACTAACATGAGACCTGCACATTTCTGTTAAGCTTCTATTACGCTGTCAACAAAATTTGTTAATTAAAAAATTTGGATACTTTTTTTGAAAATGTAGAAAATGTCGAGGGGCTTAATGTAAAGTACCTTACAAAATTCAAACATCGGTTTCAAATTCAAGGGGCTGCGACATCAGCCAGATTTATTGAGAATATCACATTTTGAAAAAATCTGCTGAACAGTTTAGTCGTTAGCTAAAGCTCGTAAAAGTAACTAGTAGTGCTACAGAAGGCACAGACTCTCGTATTAGTTAGTTTTCGAATTTCTTTGGACTGGGCAAGCACTTCGGTTTTGCCCCATCCTCATCACAGCTGGCTATCAATCGCCGCCCAAACTACATTTTCCACATTTTCTCAATTGTTCGGTCTCATAATGACTTTAAGAATGTTGTAGAAGAGTAAAAACCTCGTCGCATATGGAAACTTTCGTTGATAAGTTTGGAGCCATTTGTGAAGAAAATGTCGTTTGAGCGTTTCTGTAAATGCGTATTTTGAAGCTCATTTTCACTCACTCAACTTTATAAAAATTTATGAGAAGAAATTGTACTCAGAAGTGCAATAATGTTTAAAAATCGCTGGTAATATAAATATTATCGGCGTGAAAGATATTTAAAAAAACTATACTTGTGTATTTTTTGAAAAAAGAAAATATATAGCATGACATTTACATGATGACATGACATTTATGTCATTCAGTTCACTTAGCACAATCCGTTCAAAAAAATTAAACATGCCCATGGCGGAGATATTGAAGTTTCTCGCAGAGTAGGAAGATTTGTTGCCCGTAGCTGTATACTAAAATTAGTATCTTTTAAGTGGGCTTGTTCATTGAGAAATGATGTTGCGCAACTCTACTGTATTTGTTTGTGTGATAGCGCTTCTAGCCTGTTTGCATTGGTTTGTGAATGTCGATGATTGGAGAGGGTATTAAGAACTTGGAAGGCAAGGGACAAGAGGAGTATATATAAGGTATAATAAAGCCAAGAATAGGACCCGAATTGTTTCTCAAACATTGTTCTACAAAATGAGACGTTTTTAAACTTTCTATTACATTTTTGGGGGGTTACGTTCTACACGATGCCCCCACTCCATATCATAGTCAGAAACATGCAGAAACTCGAAATCTATTTATTAAAACGAAATTGAGGGAAAAAGACAGAATTAATCTGTCACGTCAAAATTAAAGACTCAATTTGATTTCCTATTTGAAATTTTATGTCAACGCGTAGCAATAATCTTTAGAAGTAATAATAGAGTAATAATAGAAGTAACCTAGTAATAATGTAAGTCACTTTCGTTTCGTTCCGGAGCTATTACTCTGTCATGCAGGGGTCAGCCGTTCTAAATTGGGTTCCGAAGAGGCTATTTTCGAAATTGCGCTCGAAAGAGATTATTTTCTCTTTTAGAACAATGTTTGTGTTAGTTAGTCTTGTATTATTTGAGGAAGAACAGTGCCGCAGGTAGACAATTTTTGCCCGGGGCAATACTGAAACGAAGTCCCCCTCTCCGAAAAAATTAAATTAAGAAAGTTGTATCAAGAAACTATATGAATTATTTTATTTCCTCAAAAATGAAAAATTACGTTTAAGCTAGAAAATGTTTTTGGAAATATATATTAAATAATAGTTTTAAGTAAAAGTATTTAGTGATCAAATAATACGATTTCCACTGTGAATTTACGAGTAAATCGCTAAAAATCATTTGTTAAATACATGAAATAATAAACTCGAATATCAGTAGAATGTATTTTAATATTAGCGTTATTTTATTAATTACGTAGGGTCCTGCCTTTTAAGTAATGTCTATAAGGTAACAAACCAAGAGAGGGCTCTAGGTTTCAACTGATGTCACTGCAGACCCTCTGGAAACCAGGAGGAGACCTGGACCAGAAGGTCCTAGGTTCCTAGGTTCGAGTCCTGCAGGAGCGATGGCAGGATTTTCGATACTTTTGTCAACTTTTTTCAGTCGCTGTCTGGAAGAGAATTTCTTGCGGCCGGCTGTTCTGATAGGTAGTTTTCCGTAGTTTCTCTGATCAACACCATGCGAATGCCGGAGCAGTACCCTAACAAACTGACCATGGTGCGCGCGATCTTTCCTACCTTTTCCTTGTCCTATCCTAACCACTTACACACACTTACACTAACATGTACTACACTACCTCATATGCCAGGAGTCCGGTTGGAAGCTTAGAATTTATCCTGTCTGGGGCGTTGCCTGTCTGGTAGGAGATACTTGGTTAGAGAAAACTTCGCTAGCTGACGATAGGTCGGCACCGGATCTCACCATACAGTGGGGGAAGACCATCGTCACCTCCCGAGAAAACACCTGCTCTTACGGGACTAATGACCTTAGTAGTTGACGGGCCCGGAATAAGTAACAATCAATTAACGTAAAAAGTAATTGAAAATTTCATAAAATATCTAATTTCTAATCGGAATTTTTAAATTTTTACTAATTTTTCCATTAGTCCCATCATCGGGCCCCTTGACTCGCGGGGCCCCGGGCGATTGTCCGGTCTGCCCATGCATAGCGCCGTCAGTGAGGAAGAATATGTCTATTTTTATACAAATTTACTGTTTTATCCGATATCAATGAAAATTTACCACTTGACCTTCGAAACAAAAGGAAAGTCCCTAATGAGATTTTGAAAAACTACCCCATCACTTTCCGATCTCCCACACCCAATGCTCACTTTTTTCAGTTTTTGGATAAAAGAGAACTGTGATTAAATCAGTCAAGACCATAATAATTTTGTGAAATTCGTAAAATTTCCTTTCAAATGTATTTTGATTAATTCTGATAACTTCGAGCAATTCAATGACAAGTTGAAGTAACTCCTGAAGAATGATGACTCGGCAGGGTCGGTCGGGGAGAGCGGGCCGGAAGCATGGGGCAGGGAGACCGGATCAAGGTGGGGGGAGCGGAATAGAGTGGAACGGAACGGAGGGGCGCCGAGCAGGTGCAAACACGGTGGAGTGGGAAGGAGCGTGTCTTCGCGGGGCGGGGAAGGGACGCAGCGATGTTGTAAATAAAATTACTTCATTTATACATTAAAGGTATAATTATTAATGCTGGCTGTTCAGTTTTATTAATATACATAATATATTATTATTAAAAGCTCTTAAAACAAGCATTTCGTTTTCACTAGTTATTATTCAATGTTGCGAAATGCTAAAATGTAGAAGGAAGGAATTATTATATTATAAATATTGTATATAATAAGTTAATTATATATAGTGTGTGTGTATGAAAAATTATAAAAGGTGTTAGTTTGTGGAATGTAGTATGAAAAAATATTAAACATTGCTCAAAAATTAAAACATCCGCCCTACGATAACTTCTCCCGTTCATAACTAGAGGCGCTGCAGTAGCTACATGAATCGATGAACCAGAGGTCCCGTTTCTCGGTCTCTCGTGCAGAATTTCGGCTTGTGAGAGATGTGTTTGAATTCTTTGATTCGTTAGTCCGGCCAATGTGACAAGTGGCTGGTGAAAAAATGGCCGAGGCTGAAGCATTGAAGAGTATGGTGATGAGTTTTCGAGTTTCGGAACTGCAGATGTTATTAGGTTTTGCTGGTCGTAACAAATCTGGAAGAAAGACTGAACTTCAGGCTCGGGCAGTGGAGCTTTTGCGAATGCGCTCCACCCCCGTTGAAATGAAAATTAAGGAACTATACAAAACAATTCACCAAGCACACACTACCGGAGCAACTATGCAGCCCTCAGCACCCTCAGCTAAAGACATTCCCAGTGTGCATAGTTCGAGTGCAATGCAGCAGCAATCTGCGCCTAGAAGTAATGTATATAACCCCGGTGGCTACGCTACAGATAGGCCTTTGCCACCTCCCACAACTGGTATGTACGCTTCCAGTATTTATCATCACCCTTCGTATCAACATAAAACTTCACCGCCAGTCTATAGCAGTTATCCTGTTCATCCAGATGTGAAACTGAAGAGGTTACCTTTCTTTGATTTGCTGGGAGAATTGTTAAAACCGTCTACTTTAGCTCCCCAGGGGTCACAAAGTTTACAAGAGGGTGGTTTTGTATTTCATCTGACACCCCAACAAGCCACAGATATTGGCACGTCCAGAGAACTGAGACCTGGTTGTAAAATGGAGTATGTTATTCAGGTTCAAATGAGATTTTGTTTAATTGAATCGTCATGTGAACAAGAAGACTGTTACCCCCAAGGAATAGCTGTTAAAGTGAATGGAAAAGTATGCCCTCTACCTAACCCTATACCGACCAATAAGCCAGGTGTTGAACCAAAGAGACCTCCAAGACCTGTGAACATAACTCATATGGTTCGTCTTAGCCCTACTGTGCCAAATCATGTGACTGTGTCTTGGAATGTAGAATATGGAAAAGCATATGCTGTAGCAATATATTTAGTTCGTAAATTATCATCTTCAGAACTTTTACAAAGGTTGAAGCAACGTGGTGTTCGACCACCAGACTATACCAGAGGTCTAATCAAAGAAAAGCTTCAAGAAGACATTGATTGTGAAATAGCCACTACATCTCTGAGAGTCTCCCTGATGTGTCCTCTAGGGAAAATGCGTATGACAACACCTTGTAAAGCAACATCATGCTATCATTTGCAGTGTTTTGATGCATCATTGTATCTTCAAATGAATGAAAGGAAACCTACATGGATGTGCCCTGTTTGTGACAAACCTGCAATATTTGATAATCTTGTGATTGATGGCTATTTTCAGCAGGTTTTAGATTCTGGAAAACTTAAAGATTGCAATGAAGTTCAACTTCATCAGGACGGATCATGGTCATCTTTAATAATTAAAAAGGAACAAACACAAGAACTTTCTCTGGCTGACAAATCTCTAGTTAAGGTAGAACTAGATGATGTGGTTGTTATTCCTGAACCTAAGGAGCAAGTAATTGCAGAACAGCCCCCACCTCCCCCAGCACCAAAGAAAGAACCTACAGTTATTGACTTAACATTCAGTGATTCTGATGATGGATCCGATAGTGTAAAGGAAGTGAGTCTTGTTAAGACTTGAATTATTACCTTTAGTATTTCTCTTGTGTGATAAGTACAGAGGTTAGTATTGTTTGGTTTTTAGGTTTATTTTAATTACTATTTACATTATTATGTGGACAAATTCATTATGTTTGTGCATGGCCTACCTGCCGTCTAGTCTTTATTTATTTATTTAATTATTTGTTTCCATTCTTTAATTGAGCAAAATGTTTTATAATTAATCAAGTGATGTATGTATATCCTTTGATGTTCCAGGGTTTTTCAGAATTATAATTTGTTGTTGTTCTCTATGGATATTTGAAACTAGTAAACAGGAAGACTTGACACTGTTTTATGCAACAGCAGAAACAGTGTAAGATACAAGAGGAGTTTATGTGAATTTTGTACTTGATTTGTTCATAGAACCGTTTTCTTGATGAATTGCTGTTCATGACAATTGCTTTCCTGTGGACAAATTAAATTCTAAGCTTTCTTCTTAGATCAAGATGCAAGAATTAAAGATTTTGAGTGTATCTTTTGTCTGCATAAATACAAATGTGAATCTAAAAATGGCAGTTGATGGAGTGTAAATAGGTTCAGCAATGGTATTTCAACATTTTATTGTAATTTGTCTGTTGGTTTTTAAGTATGTTAAGAAAAGGAGTCTAATTCACATTAAGTAATTTTATTGCGGTTTGTTGAATAGACATTATGTCCATGATTACCCAAATGTTTAGTATGAAAAGGATTTTTTTGTGCAAGTGTTATGCTCTTGATGTTGAAGTTTCATGGGTGATTTTCAATAGACTGTCAACAGTGTATTGTTTTTTCTGCAAGGTTTGAGTTACTAGTATACACCACATATACGTCTAAAATGGTGTTCTTCCACCATTCATGTGTGAAACAGTTTCAAGCAAAAAGCATGTCCCTTGTTTGGGTGTGCTAGTTCATTTCATGTGAAAAGAAAATGTCAAGACGTTGGGTGAGAAAGAGTTCGATATGTGAGAATGATCTAGACTTCTGTTATGAAGTGGCATGAGTTGTGGAAGTGCAATTATATTATTAGTCTGAATGTGAGACTTCATTCAGTTCTGACTATTAATAATGGAACAAAGTGCATTTATATTTTATTGAAAAGCATATAGTGTTTACATCTTGTGTGGAGGAAGAACTGATTGAGATACTTCTGACAATTCTAACATTATGAACATTCAAAGATTTTTGAAAGTTGTTACAATCTCCACTTTTTTCTCAAACTTTTGAGTTCCTTTGTGTTAATTTATTTCCATGATTGGCAATACATCGTGAAGTGTAGAAATCACCAAAATGTGGTGGTTAAGAAGAATTTTATGTGCTCTTCTTATGTTTATTGTATTAATACTTTTATGTGTGAGAAACTTCTGATAAGATAAATATTGCTTGGATTAATCCACCTCTTTTTTCTTATATTTATAGAATTTGTTGCAGCAAGATGGAAATTGCTCTTGATTCACCTATTCAGTGCTCTGGTGTTCACTGAAAAATGGTTTGATATGTTAATCAGGGTTAAATGTCTGTGAAGAATATTCTTCCAAATAATAATCGTTTTTATTTGCATAACTTTCATAATTTAATTATAATTGGTTTGTTCTTGTGCATAGTATTTGTCTTAGGATAAAAACAGGTATTTTTATTGCAAAAATACTTCAAAAGCATTGAATTTATTTTTATTACATTCCAATTTGATTCAAATATTGGTCATGAACAAAATGTTCTAATGGTGTACTAATATTATTTATCACTTCAATAATATTTCACTTCACTTCTGTTTCATTCTTGTTTGAATTGCAACTTCAAATTTATTCTTTAATTAACTTCATAAAACCTTTTTTATTGCATGTGTAACCATATATTTATAAAGAAAATGTTATAACTCTCCCTATTATTTTCTTTCATTCATGTTTTATAACTTGGGCCTAAGATAATTTTTTTGTTGAACAAACAATATGGATTGCTCAAGGAAGAGGCTGATAGTTGTAACTATCCACTTAATGTATTGTTATTTTCAAGTTATAATTTTCTACTGTTTAACATTTTTAAATCTACTTTTAGATGTTAAAACCTCAGAATAAGTTGAGCTGATTCTTTCTTTGAAATCTCGTGACTGGAACTGGTAGAAAACTAACCTTAAAACCAGACACAATTGTCAGACTCATTATAGCTTAATGATGTTTTCTTTTATAATAAATGGGTACGTGCTATAAACAACAGAATTTCTATTATTGCCACTGATTATGTAGGAATTGTAATTGCATTTGCATAAATGGGATTAATTAGTTTGCATTATTTTGTGAATGTAGTTACTGGTAACCATGTTCTACATTACGGAACCATTACAAACACGTTTCTATTTATTTCATTTTACAAAATTATATGAAAACAATGCCTCCTTTGACATCAATGATTTCATGCAGGAATTGTCTTTGGTGAGGGAATATCTTCCTTGGTGGCCGTAGTAGAACTGGATATTTTGCTATTAATATAATATTTGGTTTTTGTATTGTTACTTCGACAAATAGAATATGAATTTATTGCTGTAGCTTTTGTGATTGGTTGAATTGATCCCTTATCAATGCCCGCTCCAACCAGTCATCCTCTTCATCTTCATTCTGCACGATTGATTCTGTTGGAATGAATTCATGTGGGTGACCCTCCAGTGAGATGCGCATGTAAGGCCTTTTGAAACATCGCAGGAAAATGCTGAAACAAAAATCTCAAATATTACATGCTCTGAAACATGAAATAAATTGGTTTAAGAAATGAAATTATGTTGAAAAAGTTGTAATTGGGGCTGATGTGATCTTAATGAAAAAGAAGAAGGGTTCTCAAAATTTAACCTTTCAGTGACTTTAAAATATTTAAGTGTGTTTTTGTTAATAAAAACTACACAAAGCCTTTTATGTTCTGTATTGAAGAAATTTTCAGTGACATAATACAATATTCACAAATTAAAACATTCAGTCAACAATATGATTATAAGTGAGTAGTATGGAAAGTAATAAAGCACCTTGTTAGCAGCTATTGCAATTACGTTTACTGGCCTTGGGAGTAGATACTTTGTAATGCTTCCTGTCTAGAATTTAATTCCTTTCCCTTTTTTTTCTTATCCCTCCTATGGACTTTTTAAAAATCCTCTTCAAGGTAAATATATTTATAACTTGTGTATTGGTAGACCATTAGTAAACTAACATCCTGTTACATAACTATTCTGGAAGTGGTTGAGTTCTTGGAATTATATCTGAATGGAATTATGTGGTGACTGGTGTGGAATTATTTCTGAATTTTTAGTAGAATAACCATGTTAGGTCAAAGGATGAACAATGGGCAATACACAAAACCTTCCAACAGCTCTTACCAAAATTATGAATGGATGTTGCATGTGTGATCTAACTATTTATTCACCAAACTTTAACTGAGACATGACTGATGGAAGGAGTTGAGTGTTAGCTACTAAAATTCCTTTGGCAATGAGCATCCCCTTTGAAGAGATGCTACTTAAGTTACTTTTCTTGGAACAGAGAAGATGCCATGATAATATGATTGAAACTTTGAATATTTTTGGAATTCATAATTGCGTTCACATTAAGAAACTATAAAGGCACAAATAATGAACTATGAGAGGACACCTATTCCTAGTAATTAAATGACTATTCAGGAAGAATCCTTTTAAACACCTCGCATTCTACATGTGTGACCCATGGAACCATTTTATCAGAAGTTATGAATCTATACTCTGTTCAAATGGTCAAGAGCCATTTCGATAGACTCGCCAATCAAGAGATTATCACCTGATTATTTTAATTTGATTTTTCAATTCCCCTCATCCTTTGAATGTAAACATTTCAATATATATTGTGTAAGGTTAATTATTTTGTTGATTTATTGTTAAATGATTACAACTGAAGCTAAACACAAAATACTATGCTTTGCATACAAATACTTGCAGTGTAATGCAAAATCAATGACTGACCTATAATTGTATAATGAGAAAAAAAAATAAAAGTCTTAAGTGATGGTTATTTCTGAATTGGTGATTCTTGTTATTTCATTGTTGCCATTTTCCTCATAGTTTGATTTGTTAACCGACTGCTGAACTTTCATTATTTGGGAAAGTGAATAGGAAAGCTTTAAATATAGATTTTGGGAAAAAGTACAACATAACTTCTTGTGGATATATTTGTGTGTATTTAAAAATTATTTAAGAATAGTTATTACGAATATTCAAACTGAAAGTAACCTTTACAGAAGTTGGAGGCTGGGGAATGTGGGTTTTAATTACTTTATGAGTCTGACTAGTTGACATGCAACAAAATTGCTTAGGTATTATGTTTTATTTCTTATGTATAGTGGAAGTAATGTATTAGCACAAAATTAATGTATTTTATATATCATTAATTAAACAATAGAATTTTATTGTTATTTATTCAGAACTAAGAAACAGAAATATGTCAGTGATAATTAAAAAATTCAGAACTAAGTGAGATATGTGAGTTAGTAGAAGAATCCAGCTTAAGAGATCATGAGGATATGAGGGAAGTGTTGTTCAAGAGAAAAAATATTCCTGAAAGTTATCAGAATGGTGAGTTAGAATAAAATGCTTCTGAAAGTGACAGTTCAAGATTATTTTGGTTAAAAAGAGTAGAGAAGTCATTATTCACATTGTTGGCCAGTACTGGCTGTTTTAAGCATTGCTGCTGCCTCAGCAGTTCCAAACAGTCCTGACTGTCATGGATTTCCAAAGCTAGCTAAATTACGTACAGCTGCTGTCTGGAGGAGAGTGCAAGCAGCCGCCAGCTCCGATCAGTAATTTTCCATTGTTTATCCAATCAGTACAAGGGAGTTCCAGAGCAGTATCCTAACAAATAGGCCTGCGGGTTGCACACAATTTTCCTTTTGTTTTCCTTGTCCTATTCTCACCCCTTATTTAGAATTCAAACTTATATACCGTACATTACCACAGATATCAGACCAGTGAAGAGATAATCCTGGCTGGGGAGATAGCTGGAAGGTGAAAGCTTCCGCGAGCTGACATGTAGGCTGGCGTTTGATCTCACCATCCAAAAGAGGAAGGTCTCCACCACCCATGATTAAACATTCATTACCAAACGTGCTTAATGACCATTACTGTTTTGCATGCCATGATACATTATTCAATTAACATCTAAATGAATCTGATTTTCTTTAAAAACCATAATGCTTTTTCTCTATGTTAAAAAGTATATCACTTGTAGAAATGTCAGGTCATTTCTCTTTTCTAACACATGGAGGAAAGTGTACATCGAGGAGGTAAAGGAATCAGGATCTGACTCTCGTGACCATTTTGTGTGCATCCCAATGGAATGTCAAATTTGCAGACAGCAGATTTGACATTCCATTGATTGCACAACTTCTGTGCAATCAAAGGGACATCAAATGAACAGACGTACACCTCTATGCTTGGACCTCCAAGAATTCTATTGAAGTGTATAGTCCAATTGTGTGGAGTTATGGAATAGCAAAAAGTATAGAATTAGTAAGAATTTTGAATAAATGCAAAAAACTGAAACAAAAGAGGGCAAATATGAACTACAACATTTTCACTTCACTAGATGAATTTTTATGAGTATCTTCAAAATTTCATTTCTTTCTGCGTATTACTCATCTCTGATTATAAATGGGGGACGTATTTTAATGACCTTAAGCATTGCCTAAAATGCTTTAAAAATGCCCAAAAAACAATGAAAAATGTAAAAAATTGAATGAAAACCACTTCATATGAACTCAAGCTGCTTGATATGTTACTGATGTAACCAAGGCTTCTTCCTTTTGTTCAAGTGAATTCAGTTTGCAAACTTTGAGTTTGGACTGTTCTTTAAAAAAAAAATCTGCCTTTATTTATAGCGAAATTGGCCGCTAAATAACAATGGCACTGATAAATTTCACAAGAACCTTAGATTTTGTAGTACTCAAAACGGCAGACATTACAATATATGAGCGAAGAAATCAAATAGGTATTCATGTATTCTGTGCTGAACATTTGTTGCACCTCATAAATATTGTTAGAAGCTAGTACCGTTTACATAAAATTAAAATCTATGAAATCAGTGTAAAATGCAGTAAAAATTACGTTAAAAGGTAAAAAATGACTTATGAGTCAGAGTCTGTGAAAAATGGAAAAAAATGGCACATAAAAATGGGTAATTGGCGTTGTTCTAAAGTTAAAAAGAAAAAAATGACATTTCATTAAAATCTGCCCCCTAAATATAAATGATTTGCTAATCATTTTTGAAAATAATTATGTAAGTAACTAGTTGAAGTACTCTGCATTTCCCAGGTATTACTGCCATGCAATGCAGCTCTATTTTCTCTTTATGGATTTTCTCATTCTTTTCAAAATTTCAAAAGCACTTCAAAATCACTTCACAAATGCAAATCACGAAATGCTCAAAGAGTACTTACTTCAATTTTGTTTTAAGAATAGGAAATGTGCATTGGAGTAATTTTTCTGAAATCTCATTCAGGCAGGGACTTTTGTGTCCAGAAAGTCTCGTGTACCAAATATCATTAAAATCAGAATAAATCTGTAAATTTGTATTAAAAACAAACAAAGAAACATTCTTATACAAGTGTGTGAAAACTTTCTATATATTCTGAGAAAAATGTATTTATATTTTGCAATATTAATATGAAGTTTGAATGAAAATTAAAATTCTGTGGTTTTAATGAAACCTGAGTACATTAATATTGAATTAAATAAACAAGACTTTCTTAGAATATTTAAAATGTTATTTATAGCACTGTTAGTTTTCACCCATCCACATCACAGCAAATCATATGATGAAGAAGAAGAATGGAGAAAAAAAAGGTCGGACTAAAGGATTGGCTAAAACTGACAAAGCAGCTCTGGCTGACAACCTTTCAGCAACACATAGAGAGAGACCTTTCAGACCTTCTAGAAATTAGCTTGGGCAAATAGACTGGCCAACAGACAGACAAATATTGTAAAAACTATTGAATTGATTTTTTATATAATCTAAGTGAAAAGAAAAAATGTGAAAGTTATGTTGAAGTCACAGACATTCCAATGTTATTTATGTAGATAATTACGATCATAATTATTAACTTTAATATGAAACACAGAATTGCACGAAGTCAAAAGCTCTTCCTCCTTCCTTATCCTTCTGGTTGCTTCTCTTCTTATCCTCCTTTTTCCTCAGTGTCCCAGCTAATGTGTTTATACCAAGTTTAATATGGCGTAACGAAAGCAGGGATTGGCAGCAACATGAATGCATGTAATGCGAAAATGTGAAGCTGGGTACCTAAATGACAAATTATTGCAATTCCCCGCGTTCAAGCTAATATTATGAACAGATTTATTTATTTCATGTTATTGAATCCAAATTCCTAAATAAACAAAAAAAATTAGGCAGTTTAAGTTCCGAATTTCATTGGTGTATTTTATGGTTCTGAAGTCAAAAATTACTTTATAAAATCTAGGATCTTTTTAATGTTGCATTTTTTATGTGAAGCAGTGTGTGCTTTCTTATTGTGCATAAAAATTGTTATTATTTATAACGGATAATGCACATTTATTTTTGTGATGAAATTGTTTTGTAGTATTACATTTTTTAAAACATTTGATAGTTTATTCTTTGATTTAAGAATTGCAGGTCATTAATTTGTCACTTTACTTTCTGTGCTGCAGGTTTATGAAAGTAGATAATACAGAGCAATTTGCATGGAAATGCCTTTTTGGGGAACCCCTTCCTTTTAGGCCCTACTAAATGGACCCAAGAAACATTTGAAATATTCAGGTTTTGTTTTGTGAAATGAGCCCTAGCTTTTAATATGATCAATTTATTGTTATAATGGGATTTTTTTTAGTTTAAAAAAATGGAAATGTTCCTTTTCTCTTATAATTGGGCGTTTTCGATATTTAAATTAAGACTACATTAGTTAGTTCTTGGTAAAATGAAGTTACTAATGTAGGAGATTTTATCAATGCTCATGAATTTCTTTAATTTCTTAAATTTTCACAAAATATGGAACCAATGTCACCATTTAAAAAAATGCATGCATCAAAAAATGTTATTTACAAAACTATGTTTTATGATGACCTGAAACGTTTTCATTGCAATTCTGGCATTTTCTCGGACTAAGAATATGTGAGAAAAATTTACTTAATTTGACACAACATCGTCAGTAACTATATAACCATAAGCAAAATTACATCATTTTGTTTGAAGGAATGTTTGGTAAATTTTTGTTTTACATCTTAAATACAGTGCTTTTTTTTAATTTTTTTTCTTATAATTTAATTGTTGGTTAAAGGCAGTGGTATTTAAAACTGGAACTGCTTTTTGGCTTCGTCATTGTAACCATTTTTTGTTGAACGTTCAGATGTGAGGATCAATCTTCAATAATCACGAATTGTTGGCAATTTAAGGGAGGAAAAATTCAAGGATGTAGTTTTCACACCACGAATCAACGCCATTTTGGCTCTGTCAAAGTAGCGACCATTTTAGAAGTGAAGAGTGGATTGATGTAGCCAACCTTACGATACTAGTCGATTTTTGTATTTGCGATAATATTCGTATTTCGTATATTCGTAATATTCGTATTTGCGATAATACAACGAATACCCTCGAGCGGAAATACGTATTTGCAAATCATTCTTTACTTACGTAACTAACGTGTAAATTTAAATTGACTTCTCCCCAAAGCACGTCACACACAGTTTTAACTGTTTTTGACAGAAATATATAAGGAGCAATTGCGCGCAAAGTTACGCGTGTCGATTTTCACGACGAGGCTCCGCCTTTCGGCCATTAATTGCCGTACTCGATTATGTCTTCGAATCTGCTCAATGCATTTCCCAAGTAACACGATGACTGGAACCTTTGGGATTTATATACAATGTCGTGTATTCGAAAATATCCCATCAAGGAAACAAGTTTTTATTCCCGGCACCACTCTCTACATCACTTTTCGTCGTCTACAATTTCAACGACGTTCATCGTTTTGATTACCATTGTGCTGCGCGTCAATCGCCGTACGGTTGACAAATCGACTTATGAAAACCTACAATTGTTAAATTGGCAACAGATTTCTAAGATTCCCCGCAAGCCTATGTTTCAGCCAAATTCAATAATCCCCATTAAGGGGATTTTAGGACAACACACCATGTGTTCTGTCCTCGAATTAATTTCGTGTTTTAATGAAATTAAGAGTGATAGTAGACCTTGTATCTTCAATGCATTTAATTCAATTTAAAATGACTTGAGCACATCAAAAGAAAGTCCGTTCAATGATTTACTACTACTAGTTGACTTTTTCATTCTTATATTAATTATGAATAAAATAGTGTATCTCTCGCATAAAGATCATCATCACAATGCATTCGTGACCAAAATATTCGTTGTCAGTATTTTAGTTTTTCATTATCTTTCGTAAAACTTAGATGCCGTCCATAAATTTCGTAATTCAAATTTGGAGTTTTTTGAATACACCTTCTTCCCTCTGCAACGCGCGCTTGAACCTCTGTAAATAATTACGTAACGCGACACGAGTATCCCACATTCACAATAAGAGAACGAACTATAAAGCATCAGTATTGCATATATACAGGCTGTATTAATTTTGTTTGTGTTTTATATTAAAATTAGTAATAATTAAAGTCAGAATTAGTTGGCGATTCGGACTGTACCAACTCATTTGGATTACAATCTAAATGGTGTTGGCTGTACCTATAGAGGAATCCGCCTAAGAATGAGCCAAAATAATAGTTCGCTAAAGAAGTGAACATAACATGAAGTTCAGAGAAGAATCCCTTGGCCGCGACCACTGTTCAGCCAGACATCTTCGTAAAGTGTTTGTTTGTACATGTCTCCCGTTAAGACATCATGGCTTTTCATGGTTCACAACCGTATAATTATAAAAAAATAAATTGATAAAACGTAAGCCACGGAACATTCTCGATCACATCTCGCCACTTTACCGCGCAGGAGCAGCAAACACACACGCCAGTACGCGTCTGACATTCAAGACTCGGTTTTCAAATAAACCTATTACTTATCACACAAAATGTAAATTGAATATAATTTTTATATATAAAAAAGAATTTTTACAGAAGAGCACGGTAGTACTATACTTTGTAATTTCAATTATTTTTCGTAGCGAACTATATTTTCTTCGGACGAGGACATCACAAAAGGAAGCGTCGAAGCCATTAGCCAACTGCGAACGAACGAATGAAGGAAGGAGAGTCAAATGTGCTTAAGGACACAACGGCCACAGAACCTTCAGTTGTGTTACCAGCACTATCTGACAAAACGGTATATTCTTATAAAAATCGCTCTATAACAAGAAGATTGTGGTTCAAAAAAGGAAGGATGTAGACCAGAAAATATCTGACAAGCCGCGCAAAGCGTTCGGAAGAGCAGGGATCTTACTGGCCACTCTGAGTGCTCGATGCAGCGAGAAAGGTTTTCGATATTATCTTTTGCATTCTCCTGAACAATTTGTGTGATGGACCGAAAGTAACAACGTTTCCTAATCGACGATCAATCAGGGGCGAAGCCATGAAGCTATGAATATAATAGATCCACATTCATACGAAGTCCAAGGGCGACGCGTACCGTATTTTAAGTGGGCAAACAGCAATTCCTTGCTATATACCCAACTTTCCGAAGATAAATATCATTTAACAATGTCATAAAACAATTGTTATTGTTATAGTATAACCACGAAAAAACAACCATTGGCTTAACCTTCAAATCAAACAAAAAACATTTGTAACAATTAAAATGAAAAAGCTCCCTAAATTTTAGAAGAGAAATGACATTACCTATTTTTATTTTACTTTTATAATATTGTGCAAATTGTTTAAATCACAATACATACCAAAACAGATTTTGATTTGTCTACAGCATACAAACTGCATGGTCAACATATTGTTATTAGCGCATCATGTTGACCTCAGAATCTTGTCGCTTGAAAAGGCCGCAAATGTTATAAATAGTTCACGGCACTTCGCGTCTTTCTCGCGTGCCGTTAGATGTCGCATGGTCGCAACCATATCGAGCAGTACTGATGATAATGCGACATCTAGCGTCACGACCAAGAGACGCGAAATGTCATGAGTTATTCCATCGTGAAGATAGGCCCTCACGCGCCAAAAAATAAAAACCCCAGCAGGTCATTGCCGCATGCCCTGACTTGTGCTGGACTCTACAGGCTTGCGTACGAATGAATTGAAGCTGTGTGGAGCCCGAAGGCACCGGCATTTCCCTTTAATAGAATATGCTTCAGAATAAATCTCATTGCTTCGCTTAGACGAGTGACGTCATCATAAGTTAAAGCCCTAAGAACAATGAAAGAAGAGTGTCACTTGCTTGCGGTTTGCTGCAGTGTACCAGTAGAAAGATTTGTTTATTCAAATGTATGCAAAGCGCTTCGTTCCCCAAATACTTGTCAGACTGGAATCATTTAACAATGTTCACAATATGTTATTCGAAAAGCAGTGCTTGCTTTCCTTGCTCTAAAGCTTCGCCATTAATCGAAAATATGGTAAGGTAAATTATGTCGCGCAGCTTCTAACGTCATGGATGCTTCAGAACCTACCTTCACAGGTGTCAAACAGGATGGTACCCCCATACTGTGTTGTGTGCGAACCTGCTGACGAGGACACCGAACACGTGTTTTTCAATGTCCACGTTTAGACTCTCGAAAACAAATCATCATTGAGATGTTGGGATTAGATCAGACGACTCTAGAAAGCATAGTTGCACGTCTGCTTTCTGCTGAAAGCTGTTGGAAGGCGGTGTGTGATTTTTTCAGAAGTAGTACTGCTGGAATTAAAACGACTGGAGCAAGAAAGGAATTCTGTTTTCACTCGAGTTTTGTAAGACAGAATAGATACTACGCCCTGTGACTGATACACTATTTCGCTCCCCGAGATATAACGGGCTACCAAATGTCTTTTGAAGAATTACTTCTACCCTCCTAAAATGCGCCCCTCCCCCCACAGACCATTCACAGCCGCAAGTCGTAGCACACCCAGCTGGTCGAGTTTTTAAATCTTTCCGGAGCAAATTTCGAGCTATATATATATATATATATATATATATATATATAATATATATATATATATATATATATATATATATATTTTAATATATAGTTTTGGTGTGTGTATGTTGCGAGTGTTCTTGAAATCTCTTAAAAATATGATCCTGATATAATAATTTCTTTATCTGGGAAATTATATTTTTGAAATTCCTCTTTTACGTACATTTCCAACAAAGTAATAAATTTAAAATTCCATATTGAAAGTCCTTAAAGACGTTTAAGTTTGAATGATTAAATCGTCTTGATAATTGTATGACAAAAAGTAATGGGCTTCAAGTCAATGAAAAATGACGAGGACATAGGACATAAGGAAATCATAGGACATAGAATTTCTCTGTTAGAGATGTTCCAAACTATCGTAAGATTTTCCATAAGATGGAATCAAATTCAAAGAACCCTGATATCCGTAGATGTGTGCAGCCTAAAACTAGAGGGGGGCGAACTACAGTTCCTGGCTCCCCTGTCTATTTAACTTCTTTTCATTTGTATGTTATTTACTTGTACATCTTTTATTAGTTAATTTTTTAACTTTGAAATGCATTTTTGAGCGGTTTTAGGAGGAATTGACTCCGACTTGGCAACATTAATGCGCAATATTTTCATATTTTTATGACATTTTTAGCTAAGCAGGTGTTTTTATCGAATCCGTCTGTTACCGCAAAGGTACACAATATATAATTTCCATTTCGTTTCTCAGTTTTTGAACAGTTTGAGAATTTTTCACATGTATCATTGCTAGAGATAGTAGCATTTAGCACTGTACATTTTAAAAAAATTGCATTTTGAAAACATGTCTATAGCATTTTAAAAATCATAACTGCAGCCTTGACGGGGAGATCGTAGGTTCAAGTCCCAACGGTGGCAGGATTTTCGACACTAGCTTGTCAGCTAGGTCGAATTCAGTCGCTGTCTGGAAGACAGGTGCGGCTTTCTGATCTGTAGTTTTCCGTGGTTTCTCCGATCAAAAGGCGAATGCCGGAGCAGTACCCTACCAAACGGGCCACAGACCGCGCACGATCTTTCGTACCTCTTCCTTGTCCTATCCTATCCCTTTACACACGTACTTACACTAGCAGCACTACACAAGCACACAAATCGGGAGCTTAGAGCTTGTCCCGGCTAGGGTGGTGCCCCTGCTGGTGGGAGATACTTGGTTTGGGAAAGCCCCGCTAGCTGACGGTAGGTCGGCGCCGGATCTCATGGCGGGCGAGGGAAGGATAACCGCCACCTCACGAGCAAAAAACATGTACTACACTTGCGGGACTAATGAATCTGGTAGTTGACGTGCCCGGAATCACTAAAACAATCAATCAATAAAAAGCGTTTTCCATTCGCCGCACTGGTGGGCATTCAGTACGCAATCAAGGCAGCTTTTGTGTTACATTTGACCGCTAGAGCGCAGCAGGACAAGATGGGCATGTTCCATTCGCTCAACGACACGGTACCAGTGCGTACTATGGGCGCCCTAATCTGAGGTGCTCATCCATTGCAGTGTAGTCCATTGCACCAGGTCATTTTGAGGTTAGATGCGGAATTTATGAATTTTGATTTGGATTCGTGGTGAAAATGTGAAGGCAATGGAGGATCTTCGGTTACGCAGAGACACTTCGAATGATGGAGTCTTATCATGTTTTACTAGTAATGTCTTAAAATTAATTTTTGTGATTTGACTCTGCGAGGACTCTGCGATAAAACAGTTTTGATGCTTTTTAGATTTTCCCACTAAAATCAGAAAATTAGGGTAACATTTAATATTTCACCCATTGTGAACTTCAAGAAATATAAAAGCGTAAGAAGAGTAAAAAGCCTAAGAAGGAACGCGTGAGCCGTACGCGTAGGGCCTTCCTCATCTTCTCGTGACCTCCTCCGTTCAGCGCGTTGAGAAAACTGACACCCTTTGAGATGACTGAGCGCTCAGGTGTTCAGGATTAGATTTTTTTAATTGTTCTTCTTATTTTTTACTTCGTTTTATCAGTTAAATCTTAATTATAAATTAATAAACACGGCCACACTCTCAAATTAAATGTTTTCAAATATCATATAATTTCGCATTTAGTATGTGATTTCGCATTTTGGGATTGATTTGTCATTTTATGAGAAATTCAAATTGAAAACCTTCAGAAATAAACCGCACCGAACGTCAAACATAAAATTACTAATTTTCTCTGTGTTTGGTAACTTTTCACATTTTTAGCAATTGCTAAAATCTAATCTCTAATCAATGCACTTTTTAAGTAATATTTTTAGTATGATTTCATAAAGTTTATAAAATGACTTATGAAAACACATTTCATGTAACAGGTCAGTAATTTTTTGGAAACAAATTAACTCGTTGATACTATGTTCACAAACAAATGTCCAGATACATTTTCAAGTTACACTTTTGAAACGTATAATTTAAAAAATGAAAATATTAATGTACTTTCAAAATGTGTAATTTTCTTGCAATTTTTAGCATTAAGTACAATTTTTTTACCAAAACGAAAACATAACTAAGCATAAGATTTATCATTTATGCAAGTCAATGAGTTAATGATTATAGCACAACAAGTGTGGACTTTCACAAGTGAGTAAAACGCCGAAATGGTGAAATTTAATATCCCTAGACAATAAGTAAATAATTTCATCTCAATCATCAATGTAATAATATTTGAATAGACTAATGTGTCACCATCACTGTAAATTTTAAAATTTATTTATATGTTATATACATAATTTTATCAGAGTTTTTACATATTTATGATTAAATAAAATATTTAAAAATATATGAGATTTAAAATATAAGGCTGTGCTTCTTTCAAAATTTTCAGGGGAGCTGTGGCCCCACCTATGGGCATGTCTATGCTGATATCTCTCTAAACAGCCAACACTAACACTTTTTAAAATTATTATTTTTTAATTCTTTGTCTTATAATCTTAATTTTGAAATTGTTATTTATTATTAAAAAGGTTTCAAAATACCATAAATGTTTTTGAGACACACTTTACTAAAAAATTCTGGCATGTATTTCAATTCCTACATGCACTTCTTATGAAGTTTGTTTATTTTTTATAACACTTATTGAGTTAGGAAACAGAAAGACTCTTGTTCTATTCTGTAAATTATTTTTTGTGCAACATGTTTATGACTGAAAAACTGAATGAGTGTCAAGGGGAGTGATATTCTATAAAAATAAATTTTAAAAATTAAAACACTTCTGTGGTTGTGAAGTGAGGATACTGAACTGAGGGAGACATTTAACATTTTCATAATACTTACTTGACCTTCTTTTAAAGTTCAATGAATTTTACTATTGATGTTATTTGTATGCAAAAATGGTGTTTGCACAATATTGATTAATTATATTTTCCCCCATACAATTATTTATATAGAGCAAAAATTACAAATCCCTCATTTTATAATCAATGTTTTTTAGATAGCCTGATTTCCAAAATGAGATAAAACAGTGATTCTTAATCTTGAAAATTAAAAAGAAGGCCTTCTGTATAAATATCAACTAATGCTTATTAATGCCTATTAAGATGTTAATTTTAAGTTTTATACAAATTAATGAATGAGAATTTAAAACATAATTAATACTGTACACAGTCTATAGAATAATGATAGTAAAATGTAAATCTAGAATCAGAAGATCAAATGATAAGTTATTGAATACATTTTAACATAACTGTAAGTCTTTTGAAGACGCCACAACATTTGCAATGTTAGATCAGCAAAGTATTTTTAAATTACAACATATATTTGGTTTGACTGAGGATCGATTACTCCTGCGATTGAACAATAAGTAACACAAATTAACAGAATTTATTTCTAACATCAGAAATATGCACTAATGTTTATAAGATATTGGTGACAACGTTTGAGTGTCATTAGAATTACTCGCCGAGATATCCTGAAGAGGAAGCACCAGAAAATCAGTAGAAAACGCATTTCCGTTAATTCTATCTCTAATGTTAATATTTTTACATTGTATTTTGTTGAAATGAAAGTTCTCTTTTCTCCCTGTGGATTTCGCCCGCATTCTCTTATTTTACGAGTTAGAGGGTAACAACCGCACATCCTTCGTTCTGGGTCCATGTGCCCTCTTTGGCCCCTCGCGTCCTCCTCTCCTTCTGGGCGCCGCTCAACAGAATCACGGGTAGGTCTCCCCCCGCCATCACAAGATGAAGGTCCGTACGGCCAGCACGACGCCGATGGCCGCGGCGGCGGCGGAGGCAGCGCGGCGCGTGGCGGCAGACGCGCCCGGCGGGTGGGCGTGGCTGGCGTCGTTGAGCGTGGAGTAGTTGTAGGCGGCGTACTCGTCCTGCGCGCGGGGGTTGTGGATGTCGATGACGTTGTAGGTGGTGGAGCGCGGCGTGGAGGGAGGGGCCGGGTTGCGGGCGCGGTTCGGGCGCGGGTTCGGGCGCGGTTCCGCTCGGTTGTGGCTCGGCGTCGGAACGGCGGCCCGCGTGCCCCCGCCGGCCGCGGCGCCGCCCCGTCGCCTCCACCAACGCCTTCATACGCGCGTAGTTGGGGCTTCGTCGAC